GGAATGCTTCCAAACATCCTGCAACATACATTCCAGCATTACACAACAAAGAAGTCTCTAGATTACATCAAAGTTAAGGAACTCTGCCCTACACAATTATTCCCCCTTTAAATCAGATATAAATAAATGCCCCTGCAGAGCTAGAATAACTCTCCCATAGTCTACAATACTGAAATACTTTTATAATTGCTTCTGAAACCTCATTTCTACCTTAATGTTCAAGGCAAATCTCGTAATTCATCTGTCGATATCATGAATTCACCTAGGAACCACACACATGGGAAAAAACTAAAAAAGAGCAAATAAGGAAAAGGAACAGCATGGGCAAAGAGCTCTAAAGGGCCAGGATGGTCAGAGGGAGTGACAGGACACTCAGAGTGAAAAAAATAGTTGTGTTCATGGCAAAGAACACTGGGAAATAAAGCTTGGAGGGACACAGTGATCAGAATCCCAAATGTCTCAAACATCGCAGGAGACCAGATTTGACTCTCTGAATAACAGTAATTTGTTAAGGAAAAACATTTTAAATGGGGTAAAGAAATATGTTGTTCCTAAGAAAGAAAATTATGGTGTCAGTTTAGGTGATGATCTGACAGGAGCAGGCCTTGTAATAGGGAAGTTGGAAAACTGCTTCAATAGTACAAGAGCTAAATGTAGAATGGCCAGATGAAGGTGAAGGCAATGTTGATGGAAAAGAAAGGCCAGAAAGGATTTAAACAAACACAGAGATCTGCTAACCTCTCCCTCTAACATGAGTATTTTCTAGTACTGTAAAATATAAATTTAAGGGATAAAAACACTTTAAATGAGTGAACACATCACTATTTCCAATGTGCATCGAAAGAAAAATACCGTAATGTCAACAAATTAAGAGAACTAAAGGTTATACAATGATAGAGTATGTTATTTAAAAAATTTCTGTATGATTTCTGAATAACATATATAGAAAATTTGTGATATTACCTGCTCCAGGACTTCTTTATAGGTAATAGTTGCTTTAGTATTTGTAACAGGACTGTCATAGATGATAGCAATCTTATCTCCCTTACCATTTTCAATATGACGATCAATGGCATTATAACAAATGTTAAGCATTCCTTCCACAAACCTGAAAAACAATTGGAAAGTAAAAGTGAATGACTCTTTCAAAAGCTATTGTTGCTTGCCTAGGTTTCTATATTTCTAGTTTGGCAGAGCTGCCCTTAAAATAGCGCTCCCCTGTGTATGTTACACCAAGTAATGATAGCTACAAACTAGATATGTAAGGTGGTACAGAAGAGACATTTTTATTTCAATAAATATGTATTTATTTTGATGTGCACTAAAAAATACCTTACACTTCAAGGTGACAACTTTGTGGATTTCATTGCTTAGGATGAAACTAGAGTATAAAGCAATGAAATAACCTACTTACATGGATGAAATGAATTGTATATAAGTGCAGCACAGATGCATTAGGCATTCTTTTGCTCACTCTACATATATTCTCTAAACGACCTATACACTCCTATGGTTTCAACCTCTATCTTTAGCTTTTGCCTCAATCTCTCTTCTGAGTTCCATATCCTTATAGTCAATAGCCTGCTGGACATCTCTACTTGGAAAAAATATGTCCAAAACTATAATCATTTTCAGCATGCCTCCAACCCACAGCCCATACTGTCAGCGTCAAAAACAAGAACCAGTTCAAAAGGCAAACGTGTTTACTTAGGATCCAAGAATTGTGATTTTCATGGTAAACAGATTTAGGCAGACATCCGAATAGTGTCTGGATTACATGAGAGGGAATCAGGGTTTTTACGATAAAAAGGAGGAAGATGAGGTAAGTTATTTTTAAGAAGAGTTCATTGGTACTGACAATCGAAGCTAGATATGTACTTCATTGATTGGTCAGGCAGTGATCATTAGTTAAAAGTTCACTCTTATTAGTCTTGTCAAAAAGAAATTCTCATTCTTGTTAAGTTCTTGGAATGCTGGTGGGTTAGCCCAGTTCAAAGCTCAGAAAGAAAACAGGACATGCAAAGCACTTCCTCTGTCATGGCTTCCCCGGCTACATTTTAAAATGGCTCCACGTATGTCAATTTTCACATTTACCCCTTTTGGTCAAGAGTTTTTTGAGAAAGCATTGGAACGGACTTTCTCAATTTTCTCATGTGTTCACATTGTGATCCCCTGCCACCAGGAAGGCTCATTCCTGGTATGTCATGTCCCACGCAGGAGGGAAAATGTTTTTCTTGGGAGCCTTTAGGCCACATTTGAGCAGCCAAAACAAAGGAAGGCTTGTTGCTCAATCCTATGAAATAAACAAAAGTTAGCAAAGTTCAGCATTAGTATTCAAATCATTTTTAATTTTGTCTTTTCATTGTTCATCTAAAGTCTTATATGTATTAGAAAACAATTCAAAACATTGTGCTACCATTATTCTTCTGGAGTTCTTATAGCATTGTGAAAAATAGTAGATGTAAAGTTTAGGAATTATTCCTAAAACCACAAACATGACACTATTTTCAAATTGTAGAATATTTCTAAACCATGAGGCTGTCCCTCAGGGTGACCAACTAAATGGGTCAAAAGACCAATAACTTTCTAGAGGCACTTATAATCAGTGACCTTGTTTTCCAATTTTGTTCAATTATGTTGCAACCAATCCTGAAGCATTTATCCAAGTACACAGGTGTATTAGTGATAGCACAGACATCACCTTATTCTGCTAGAATATAGTCAAAAGCATTTCAGTTATCCAAAACAATTTGAGCAACTGAATTTGAAATTTTCTTGAGCAGCTATGGCTTTGGTGATAGTTTCAGCAATATCTCATAAAGTTTTAGATAAATTTCTGACCATATATTCATTTGCACCAACACCCCACTATGGAAATAAAATTCTCAAAAAAAAAAATCTTATTCCTTCATTGTCAGAGACATTACTTGGTAATTACTGCTTTAATCTGTGATGTTAATTTAAGGGAGATGACCAAGGTTGAGTCTCTGATTGACTGCATAACAAAATAGAGATAACCAATAATCCGACTCTGCAATAACTTCCAAGTAGATACGGGTTTAAGCAATCTTCCCACAGGTTTTTCTGCCAAGTGCAAGTGAAAATAAATCCTAATGGGGCACAGGTCATGGTTTATGATAATGAGTTTGACTAAACCAAGGAACTGAAGGTAGTAGGCACAGTGAAAGTATTGTAGAACCAGCCAGACATCATAGATCTGTTGAATCACCTGACTGGTGAAATGAGTTCCCTGGTCAGTATGAAGTTCAAGAGAGATTGCCTGAGTAGGGATAATTTTCTGTAATAGAATTTTAGCCACAGAAGGTGCAGTAAAGGAAAACAGATTCTTCTTGAACTTACCCAAATAACATTATTATAAAAATAAAAATACTAATTGACAGTTTCTAAATTCCAGAGGGATCAGGTGGAGAGAAAAAGTAGTTGTTTCACCTCATTCATAAAGATACACTTTACCAAATTGCTGTGTCATAGGTGGCTTAAGAGAAAAAGTTTCCTTGAATCCAATGCAGTGGGACGATCTGAAAGTTATCAGTGATTTGTATTCTAGAGTATTTGTCAGAGTCCTTTCCATGAATTTCTCTGAAGATAAAGCATCAAAGTAAAAAAGTAACTGTCTATAAATGATAAAACTTAAAAATGCCCATTTTTTATGATCAGATGAGTAGTCATCACAATGAAATTGACAAGAAAATTTAGCTCCTTTAATATTAAGACTAGTTTACTTAAGTAATTAAAGACTTGATGGTAGAGATACCATGACACACAGAAATTATTCTGATAATATGCAATATCTTTGTTTTTAAGGTAGATTACTTAACGGGTAAAGAAACTTTCAATGTTATCAAAAGCAGACCAAACATCCAAAAAAATTTATCCTTTCAACAAAAAGAGAAAACCAATTCTAATTTTGTACAGTGTACTTTTGATATTTAAACTCATTTTTTAAATTAAATTTATTGGGGTATCATTGGTTAATAAAATTATATAGGTTTCAAGTGTACAATTTGATAACACGTCATATGTATACTGCATTGTGTGTTCACCACCTAAAGTTAAATTTTCTTCCATCACCCTATATTTGACCCCTTTTACCTACATCTACTCCTCCCACCCCCTTTTTATCTGGTAACCACTGTATGGTTGTCTGTGTCTATGAGTTTTTGATTGTTTATCTTGTTCATTTGTTGCTTTCAGTTCTATATCCTACATATAAGTGAAATCATATTGTCACCAGAGGACAAATGAGTCCTGTACTCATGCTGTCTGCACGCTCAGCCAATAGAGTGACACAGGAGTTGAGATAAATAGAATAAGCATTTGTTAGAGATTTGCAAGTCCCGGAAACACAGGCAAGCTCTCGCTCATAGGCATGGCTACCCCAAAATCTCCAGAGTAAAGATTATACAAGGAAAAAAAATCAGTCATCATGGAAACTAAGAAAGTTGGAGACATAGGCACCACTGATTGGACGACTAAAGGAGGATGAGGCAATTGATCATTGTGTCCATTTCTGAAATCAGCCATGGTGCCATCTCGTCTGGTCCTGTGACCCGGAGAGACTGCTGTTCTGCCTCCATTGGTCTGGGGCTGTAAAAGTCCAACAGAAACCTACTGTCCTCATGATTATAGTCCTGAGGCTCAGTTAATCTTATGTCCTAAGGCTTAATAATTAAGGGAGCGGACATAGAGAGGATAAGGTGGGGAGGCAAGTGAGTCACAAAGCCATTATCTGGGTTAAAGCAGCTTGAATCAAAGGCAAACAAAACCATATTAAATAAATGAAGTCTTTGTGTATTTACAAACTATAAGGTAAGAAGAGGTGAGGCCATGGACACTGTGAGGCCTCTAATACAGGGGTCCTTCTTCGATATGGTTCTCAACTTTTTCTGACTTATTTCACTTAGCATGATAATCTCAAGATTCATGTTGTCACGAATGGCAATATTTCATCTTTTCTTATAATATCCATTGTATATATGTACATCTGAGTAATATCCATTGTATATATGTACCACACCATCTTTATCCAATCATCTATCGAAAAAGGGCACTTTGGTTGTTTCCATGTCTTGGCCACCATGAATAACGTGGCAATGAACATAGAGGTGCATAAATCTTTTTGCATAAATGTTTTCAAATTTTGAGGTTAAATACTCAGAAGAGGGATTGCTAGGACATATGGTAATTCTATTTTTAATTTTTTCAGGAACCTCCATACTGTTTTCCTTTGCAGCTGTACCAATTTGCATTCCCACCAGCAATGTATGAGGGTTCCTTTTCCTCCACAACCTCTCCAATACTTGTTATTACTTGTCCTGTTGATGATAGCCATTCTAACAGGTCTGAGATGGTATCTCATTGTGGTTTTCATTTGCATTTTCCTAATAGCTAGTGAAGTTGAGCATCTTTTCATGTCTGTTGGCCGTTTGTATGTCTTCTTAGGACAGTGTCTGTTCAGGTCCTCTCTCCATTTATTAATTAGATTATTTGTTTTCTTGTTGAGTTGTATGAGTTCTTTGTATATTTCGGATATTAGCTTCTTATCAAGAACATTGTTTGCAAATATCTTCTCCCATTCAGATGGTTGCGTCTTTGTTTTGTTGATGGCTTCTTTTGTTGTGCAGAATTTTTTTAGTTTGATATAGTCCTATTTTTTTACTTTTGCTTTTACTTCTCTTGCCTTTGAGGTCAAATTCATAAAATCCTCTCTAAGTCCAAGACCCATGAGTTTAGTGCCATAATTTCTTCTATGCAATTTATTGTTTCAAGTATTATATTTAGGTCTTTGATCCATTTGTAGTTAATTTTGGTGTACAGTGACAGCATATGGCCTTCCAATTTTCCCAGCACCATTTATTGAAGAGGCTTTCTTTTTTCCATTGTATGTTTTTGGTTCCTTTGTCAAAAATTATTTGCCCATATTATGCAGGTTTATTTCTGGTTTCTCAATTCTGTTCCATTGGTCTGGGTGTCTGCTCTTATATAAATTTATTTCAATTTCAATCAGTTGGACCATGTCTAAAATTCCTTTCCAAAGATTCTTTCCCCATAAACCTCTTCAACTTGAAAATATATATAATTCATTCA